GGGGGAGGAGAGGAATGCTCCTGGAACATAAGGTCTTTGGTGAAAAAATGTCCTAGTGGATTTGGACTCCACTGATATTGTCAATAGTATAAATCTTTCCTAGGAGCAAGAGTAGGAAAAATAGTAATATTGACAGTGATAATAGCTAACATTTATTGAGCACATGAAAACCAAGTTAGGAACTTTAGATGAAAAAGTATCAGTTATTTTCTCTTCAAGTGTTGCTTCTGCTCCATTTTCTCCCTTTTATTCTTCTGCAACTCCAATTATGCCTATGTTAAACTTTTTACCTTATCTCATATATATATATTATATTTCTGTATATATATTACATATTATATAATATGTTATATAAATTATATTTTTATATTCTTTTCTTTGATTTCCATCTTCTTTTCCCTCAGAGTTTCAGCTTGGAAATTATTCTCTGATGTATCTTTGATTTCTTTCTTCAGATGTTTCTAATATGATGATAAACCTGTTTATTGATTTCCTAATATCAGTTATATATTTTTCAGTTGTAGAATTTCCATTTGGTCTTTTTTTTTCACAATTCTTATCTTCAACAGAGGATACATCCAGATATATAAAGAACACCCATAAATCAATTTTAAAAGGCAGTATACCCAATAGAAAAATAGATAACAGATTTGAGTAGGTACTTCTTCAAAGAGGATATCTAAACAGTCAATAAATATGCAAAAGATGTTCAATCTCATTAGTCATTATGGATGCTACCACAAAACCCAGAATGGCTAAAATGAGAAAGACAGCAAATATCAAGAGCAATTGGCTCTCATACACTCTGGTGGGAGTATAAATTGAAATAACTATCCTGGAAAATATTATCTCGTATCTTCCAGAGCTGAACGTATTATATGTATATATATATATGCTATAACCCAGCAAGTTTACTTCTAGGTACTTAACCAACAAAAATACTTTTATATGATCAACATAAGACATGTAGAAGTATGCTCACAGAAGCAGTATTCCTAACAGGCAAACACTGGATTCAAATGTTCATCAATGCTACGGGTAAATACATCCAGAAAAAAAAAAAATAAGTTGCATCCAATCCTCATATGATGTACCCCGATAAATTAAAAAAAATTAGATTTAAATGTAAAAAATAAAAGCATAAAATTACGTGAAACCATCACTATAATCATGGTAACAGACAGTTTCACAGGTGTATGCATATGTCTAAAGTCATCAAATATGCATATTTTTTGGTATATCAATTATACCTCAGTAAAGCTGTTTAAAAAATGACAATGAAAATTACATGAAGAAAACTTAGGTGCTTTTCTGGTTAACTTCAGAGTGAAGAATATCTTTCTAACTATGGCCCAAAAGCCAGAAACTATAAATTCAACCATATTTAAAAATAACCCAGGGACTTCCCTGGAGGTCCAGTGGTTAAGACTCCGCACTTCCAATGCAGGTGGCGCAGGTTCAATCCCTGGTCGGGGAACTAAGATCTTACATGCCGAGTGGCACAGCCAAAAAATTTTCAAAAAAAAAACATAAGGAAAGTCAAAAGACGATGACAAACTGAGGAAAAATATTTGCAAGTCACAGCACAAGGGCAAGAAGAAAAAGACCAGTACTCTGACATATAAAATGGGCGAAGACTGGTAAGAGAAATTAGCATAAAGGAAAACACAAAACCCATAACTAAGAAAATCAACTTAAATCTATACTCAACTACATATCAGAATAGCACACCCCCAGTTTGCTAATACAGCCTGTGGGCAAGGCTGTAGGGAAATGGGTGCTCACATGGAAAGAGAGGTGGCAGGGCAATCTGGAAATATCTACCAAAACTGCAAATGTATACTTGCCTTTGACCCAGCTATTCCACT